TGTGCTCATGCTCAGAGGCATATTAGCAGGCACCTTGGGAACTTTACCAGTGGAAATTTGGTGTCTAGGGACTTTACAGAGTTAGGAAGCAGCTGAGCAGGGATTTTTTAAGACCTAAATTTTGGATTTAGGTGCCTGAAGTATCAGGTGCCTAAATCCCTTTGTGGTTCTAGCCCCAAATGCCTTAGCTTTACCAGTGCAGCTGTCACACTAAAGCATTTTGAAATCTCATATATACACCTTCAAGTTATGATGATGTCATTGTTGACATGCCTTTAAGTCTGGCCTATCCTCTCTGGCCACAAATCAATAAGGTACTTAGGAACAGCCTAATTTTAATCACCTTAATAGTCCCATTGAAATCAATGGGATACTCACATAGTAGGCATATACTTTAAGTACCTTGCTGAACCAAGGCCTATGTTAATAATACATTGCATGTGTTTTCTTTGGCAATAACTCTGTTACATCACTTTGCCTTTAGGCAATAATATCACCATACAGTGGAATGAATGCATAAAATCAAGGAACTTGTTTCCCATTCAGAAATCTCTTTTTAAATGTTTAAAAATTTGGCCTTTTTGGAATAGATGCTAGTAAATTAGTGAGGCTTTTATTCTTTCTCACTCTTTATAATAGCAGTAAAACCCAATAAAATATAATTTAATATTTTGGCTACTGCCTTTATGGAGCAGTACAGCTGTTTCCATCACTCAGTAAGTATTGAAATCATAATTAGAAACACAATAAGAAGTAATTTTTTCACAGAGTAGCAGAAAAATAGAGATGAGAAAAAATTACACTGCTTGGCTCAAAGAACATTCAGATGGTATAACAGATATACAGACCAACCAACCTGTGACCTCTTTAGACTTGTCTCTGATCTTTAAAAACCTTCATAGATGACCCTGAAAAAGATGTAGTGGTTCAGTTCAGATTTCCTGCCTACACCAAAGATTTTGTTCTTACTTTGCACTTGCAGCTCTGACTCTGAAACTTACCCTCTCCCTCGGCTTCAGAGCCCATGTCTCAACTTCAAAGAGCTGTCTACACAGTTATTTTTTGAATGCTGGTGTGAGCCCCATTTACCCAAGTCTGTCAACCTGGGCTGGGAAGCTTCTTCTGATGGGCTGTGTAGCATACCCTAAGTGCCCTACCAGCTAAGTGGAATGCTAAGCCCTGAGTTAGGCACTCAGGCTCCCCATACAATGCATAGGGAGAGTTACTCACCTACGTAAGGGAAACTCAGAAGCCAGCAAGCAGTCCCCTAAGCTAGCCAGGAGTGAAGTGCAGAGGAAAGGGAATTAGGTCCAGCTCCTCAAAGATATTTAGGGGCCTAACTCCCATTGATCTGGACTTTAGGTGCCTCCCTCCACTCAGGATCCTGGTGTTAGGTGCCTAAGCCAGGTCAGCTGCTTAGACAGCCCATTCCCTACTAGCTGAAACCCAGACCTTGCTAATGAAAAAACAAGAGAGATTAAAACCCTAGAATGGCCAATAGCAAGGGTGGTTGGGTCACCTATATCCCTGGTGGTTACATGGGATGTAGGTGATCCAACATCAACCCCCCCCAGTCCCCCCGACTATTTTGGAGCAAGAATTTGAACTCAGGTCTCCAATGTCCCACTTAACTACCTTAACTGCCTGAATGAACACACACATTGAAAAATTCCCAACGTGCTTGCCCCCAGCTGTCTAGTGTGACAGATATCAGTTCTTAAATGTGTTCGGAACATGCCAACAGGATCAGGCCCCACTAGCAAAGTCAGTGTTCCCCTGCTGTGTCTGAGAATCCCTCTTCAGGGCCTCCAGGACCTTTGGCTTGAATTAGGGTTCTGAGTAGCTTGTTGGCTGTAGGGCAGCATCAATGCTTCAGTGGCTTTGCAAATGCTGACTGGTAGAAGCTTCAGTGTCTGTGGGTTTACGAGGCTGCTGAGCAGAGGATTTGTGGGTCAGTGGAGTCTAACTAGTGAACTTAATTTCCTAAAGAAGCAGGTAGATACCTAAATACCTTTGTGGGTCTGGCCCTAACTTTATCAGTTTCACTTTTTGTTAGCCTCTTTGGTTTCCATTTGCATGAGATTCTCACTTCTTGAGTATCTCTTTAATTTCTCATTTAAAAAAGGATCCCAGACTATAAAAAAAAAAATACTGGTTAAAGCTGAATAAATAGTGAAATTAAAACAACAACAACAACATGTTTTACATGGTTTCAGTGGAAAAAACTTACATTGTTCCAGGTAATTCAAAACTGGAGCATGGCTCATTCAAGAGATTTTCTAACCTTAGCAAATTTTTTTTGATGAAACTTGTCTATGTAGGAGTGGACGGAAGGAAGACTGCAAAGGAATTCTCAACTATTACTGATGTAAGACATGCTCTGTCTGGTTTCTGACTTTTCCTTCATTTGTTATCTGATCCTTCACGCACTGAAATCAACAGGGATTTTGGCCTTTACCCTGATTTCATCTAGTAGATGAGTGGAATGATATCCCTTAAAGGTGCTTTCTCAGCACTGACTTCTTCAGTGGGATGCACAGAGATGTAAAAGGATCTCAAAGAAGTGTCTGGGATGGTTTCATATGGGAAAGAAGATCAATATCGTTCCTGATCTCATTGCACATTATGATGACTGTGGACTGAAACTCTGGGGTGGGAAGGGGTGGGTTCCACAACTACCATCAGAAGAAGCAAATGAAATAGTATTGATTTTTCTAAAATTAAAAAAAAAATACTTGAAAATGGGGTTTATTTGAATTTTTTTGAAAAAAAAACTCTGAATGGATTATTTTGAAAAAACTCAGAATGGATTTTTTTGGAGGGGGGAGGGAGTCAATTTTTTTTTTAATTCTTTGTTTTGTTCTGAAACAGTGAGAAAACAAATGTTTCTATCCTCCCACCCCTTTTTTTTAAAGGGGGTTAATGAAAGTGAGAGAACACTCTGCCATTCATTTCCTTTAAAAAGAAAAGGAGTACTTGTGGCAGCTTAGAGACTAACAAATTTATTTGAGCATAAGCTTCCGTGAGCTACAGCTCACTTGTTCCTGTGGAAAAAAAATGGAAAACATGTAAAAAATAAGGAAAAAGTAGGAAAAACACAAGCTCACATTTAAAAGTAACACTGCTCCTCACTTTATATATATATAACAACACACTTTTCCCAGTGGAAACAGGTAAAAAGTGAAAGAGGTTTTTTTGTTTGTTTGTTTTTTTATCCTTTTCTTCATTATTTTCCTCTTTATGTTTCACTGGGATAAAAAAAAATCAGAAAAAGGGTTAAAAAAAACCCTTAAAAATCTGAAAAACTGTTGATTTTTCTTTCAAAATGTTTAATAAAAGAGACAATCAGAATTTCAAACAGCTCCGAGTTGAAAAATCTCCATATCACATTGAGAAGCGCTTATATAATATGGTGATGAGGGCATATACTGTGAGTTCCATATTAGACAGAAAGCAAAATCTTTCAACCCAAGCTCTAAGAGTTAACTCTGGCTAATAATAGAGTTCATCCAAAAAAAATTGCAAAAATTCTCCTCATTTTTTGGTTAAATGTTTTAAAAAAATTCTATAAGCTCTCGCATGCATTATAACCATTTGTGCCCTTAGCTTGGTACAAACAAACCCGAACAAAATGTCTGGCTCTCAGTAGCTAACTCTCTGAAATTGGAGGTAATCATAAATCTGACAAACTTGTTTATGGAGCAGTCCCCCAAATCAGTTGAAAATGAAGGACCCAATCATAGTGAACTCTAGCATGCTCCGGTGGCTCTGGCAACAGGAAGCAGCCCTAAACTTAGCTTCACAGCACTCAGCACGCAACGTTCTATTTTGCAAGCTGTTCCGTTTGATGAAAATTAAATGCAGGCCACAGGCCTCAGGCTCCTGGCAATTCGCCAACATGAGCCTCAAGCCTATTTGAATCCTGGGAAAGGGTGGGCCTAAACCCACCCAAAACAAAAGGCCCACCCACTCAACTGAGGGAAGGGACAATATAACTCTCAGCTGGGCAAAATTTGGGCCTCGTATACTGTACGTAACAAATATAATTTGTTTTATATCAGTCATTCCACAGAGTGTATTCAAATATTCTCAGCTAGGCCTTGCTATAAACTAGCCATTTTTTAAATATCAAGGTATCTCTATTAAAATAAATGAACTAATGAAATTAAGTTAAAGGTAAGTAAGGGTGCTGAGTGTTAAACAAGTTAAAGGGGGGGAATCTGTTAATCTTCCAACTCTAATCTTCTATGATTCTATGATTCTATGTTATTAGTGTGTTCCTTTTCTGCAGAAATCCTTGAAAATATCTGTAATTCTTTACAGCTGACAAGCTGCCAATTTTGCAAAAAGAAAAGTTTTTTCAGACTCTTTAACTCCCAGTCACAGATGTACCTTGTTTTGACTACGAGAGAACTAGTTCCAGAGCCCCCTAAATAATAACGTGCAAACACAGTTTCAAATTTAAAAAATTCATATATAAGAAAATTATACTCCAAGAAATACTACTCTGAAATATAAGACCAGTATGATTTACAGCTCACCTACCTACGAGACTATGGTAAATTGTTCTCATATCACACTTATTTTTACAAGGGTGTTAATCTACTGGTTTCAGTAAAGTTACTCCTCATTTACCTTGGGGGAAGTGAAATCAGAATTTGTCCCTCTCTTTTTCTGTTACATTTTTGGACCTAACAGAGAAGGAGATAAACACAGAGGAGCTCATTTAAGCACAGCTAGATGCTGTGAAAACCTTTATTATTCTTGCAACAAAACTAAAACAACACAAAAGTGTGGCTTTTCACTGGGGAGGAGGGAGGGCTCAAATATTTAAAGGGACAAGTTATCACAATCCTCCATCCTACTCTAAATTTTTTTCAAATATATACCCATTATCGTTGACATGGCTAACCAAAAACACCATATAACCTAACTAAAATTGCAAGGGATTATTTTGCCCTGGAATAGCAAGTCACTAACTAAACAATTTATAATTTCAGGTGCACAACTGGTTTTCGCATTCTCTTGGGATAACATGCTGGTCGTGGTACAGTTGTGTCCTGACCAACAGGAACATTTGGTGGTAAGGAATCAACTGGATCTGGTACAGCATCTACTGGATCTGGTATGGAATCAACTGGATATGGTACTAAAGTTTCTTTCACCAAGTCATCAAAATTAGAAGTTGCAATGGAAAAAAAGTTCAATTGAAAGAACAGAAAGTCTTACTGGAACATCCCTAGACTCTGGTACTTGTTGAGGCTGTAACTGGTTCATATGTTATTTCCATAAAATATCATCAAATAGTTTTACCACAAATGAAACAAGTCCAACACATTTTAAAGTTCTCCAGATACCCATTTTACTGTACAGCCATAATTACAAGTCCCCACTAAGTCTCCTACTTGAAAAGAATGTTATCAATCAATTTGCATAGCTTGGGATTTGGCTACAGGATGCAGCAGGTCCCAATAGGTATGCAAAGTCCGCTTCAAGAAAAGGGTTTCAGGTGACTCCTGGGTAGTAACATGTAGTGTGCTCCTGTAGACAAGCAAGAAATTGTCCAATTGCTGCTGATGAATCAAAATAGACTTGTTAGCTCATAAGGTAAACTTATGTGTTTGTATACAGGGTCCTGATGGTCCATTTGTAGCAGGATGATATGGAGCAGAATGTATATTCTGAATTTTATTTGAGGCTAGGAAACTTTAAATTCTTCAGAACAGAATTATAGTCCATTGTCACTCACTAACTGTAATTGGAAGCCAAATTGGCTAAACAGGGTATGAAGATGTCCAATGATTGTTGTAGTGTAGTAGAAGTCATTCTGAAAACTTCTGGCCATTTTGAATGGGTGTCAACTACAAGCAAACCCTGATAACCTTTTAAAGATCTGGCAAAGCCCACATGAATATGTGTCCAAGGGGTCAGAGGCCACAACCAAAGGTGTAAATGAGCTGGGCCAGGATCATGCTGAATTTGTTGATGTATAGTACAGCACTTTGCCTTCCTCTCAATATCTTTGTCAATCTCTAGCCACCAGACATGACTTCGGGCTATTGCCTTCATCTGTACAATGCCAAAATGACCTTAGTGAAGAGCTTCCAAAACCTGAGATTGAAGTGATTTTAGAATGATCACTCACATTCCCTATAAGATGAAACCATGATTCACAGAAAATTCATGTTGATGTGACACAAGTTGTGTAAATTGGGGATTCTTTTAATCCAGCACTGTACCTTCTAGTACCATTCCCTTCACAAGAAAAAGCACATCATCCTTAACTGTTTCTTTGTTGATGTCTGTGGTAGTGATGGGCAACCCACCCATCACACTGAGATTGAACACTTCGCCTGAAGTTTTTTTGGGTTAATGAGAACTTGGGCATGGCAGGCGCAACAGCCTCTCAGCATTCCATGCCGAGTGACTTTATAGAATTGAATAGTATAGGAAGGAGCTGAAAATAGCAATGCCCATTGTTGCATATGAGCAGCAGCTAATGATAGAATTCCATGTTTCTGCCCCAAAATTGAAATTAACAGGCAATGATCCATCAGTAAGGTAAAATGTCTACCAAACGGATAGGTATGGAACTTCCAAATTCTGAAGATAACGGTGAGAGCTTCTTGCTCTATTTGAACATAGTTCTTCTCAGGAGTGGTGAGTATTTGCAATGCAAAGGCAATTGGTTTCTTGATGCCATCAGGAAAAATGTGGGAAAGAAGTGCACCCACTCTATATGGTAAAGCATTACAAGCCAATTGCAACAGCAGCAAACTATCAAAGTGTGTAAGATGTCAACAGCTGATGTCAACAGTTTCTTTGCTTCCTTAAATCCACACTCATGCTCTGTATAGTCCATTTCCATTTACCCTTTCCTTATAAGAGTGCATGTAAAGGTTCCAATGCGAGATTAGACAGAAATTTACTATAGTAATTAAGCAGTCCTAAAAATAAACATAATTGTCACGTTCTCTGGCAATGGTGCTTCAAGACTTTCCTTCTCTTTCTCTGATGATTTCCTTAAGACTGTGGCATCAGTTCCATGTCCAAGGTATGCAACCAGAGGTTTGAAAAGCTCACATTTGTTTTGATGTACTCTCAGTCCATGGCCTTCCAAACATTTCAAGACAGCAGTTGAATTTTGAAGAGGATCCGCTTGATCCTTTCCTGTAACAAGGATGTAATCCAAAAAGCACTGAACTCTGTTCAGTTCTTTCAGGATTGCATACATGGCTTTCTGGAACAGAGCAGGTGCCAATGTGATACCGAAACACAATATGTTGTAACAACATAAACCTTTTTGAGAATTGATTGTGAGATATTTGTGAGACGTGGGATCAATCTCCATTTACAGGTATGCATTGAGCAAATCCAATTTTGTGAAATGCTATTCTCCACTAAGAGCAGCAAACAAACCTTCAACACAAGGTAGTGGATACTGATCTGCACCTAAAACTGGGTTTGGTGTCCCTTTGAAATCTCCACAAATTCAGACTGAGTTATCCTTTTTGACCACTGGTATGATGGTTATAGCCCACTCACTGTGTGAACCTGGTGACACTAAACTGATGTTCATTAAACTGTCCAAATCACCTTCTACCAGAGACATCAGAGCATAAAGCACAACTCTGGCCTTGCAATATTTTGACTGCCTGTCAGACTTAACAGTGAGCTTCACTGACACATTACTCATCTGTCCAACCTTGTTTTCAAAACCTTAGGAGTGTCTGCCCAGTATTTCTTGAAGATTTCAAAGTGCTTTTGTGATTGCCTTGGTCTCAGACCAATTCACCTTGAGCTTCTCAAGATCTTCCAGATAATGGCGTATATTTTCTTTCAATCATGGACCAACTTTTATCCAGTATACATCTTCAGAACCATGGAGGTTTCTTCCAGAGGAAGTTGTGACAAAGTCTGGTGATAGATAGATGCAGAAATTAATGAAACAGCGCTCCAGTATCAAGCTTCATTCTTGTACAAACTCCTTCAATCAAGAGTGTGACCCAGAGGCCCTCTCTGACTCTAGCTTCCAAAAACATGTAGTGGTTGATCTTGGCCAGTGTCACAAGAGGTCTTGTCTTTCTTCCACATCATGAATTCCTGACTTCCATCTTTTCTTAGGTTCAGTCTTCATAGGTGTCTTCTTGGATGGATGGGTGTTCTGCGTTGCTGGTCACTGAACTGTGTGACAGGTCACGGCAATGTGTCCTTTCTTCTGGCATGTTCTGCAAATAACCTGGCATGTCCCACAATACTTCTCAGAGTGCATAGTTTGTGCACAATGGCCCCATGGAAATTCCTTACATTCCTGTGGTCTTCTGTCTTCCAATTCATAAGACGAACTTCTTGGTTCATACTAAATTCCAGAGAATCCTTCTCTGCAGTTTCCATTGCAACTACTACTTCAACTGCCTTCTTGAATGTAAGTGAATGTAAGTGAATAAACTTCTTCTGAACTTGGTCATTGCATAGTCCAGAGACTCATTGGTTATTCAGGGCATTACTTAAAGTTTGTCTGAATTGACAATGCTCTGATAGCTTCCTTAAAGCAGCAACTAACTGTGCTACTGACTCTCCACTTCCCTGATGTTGCTGATGGAACTGATATCATTGTGTTATCATTAATGGGATCGGATGAAAATGTTCCTCATTTCTGCAGTAACTTGCATCATATGTGGCAGTTCCCCTCACAATTGGAAAAAATAGGTCACATAGCAGTCTGTATGCCTTTGGACCCATCACTGTCAGCAAGGTCGAACTGATTTTCTGTCTGGAAGATTACAAATTGCTTAAAATATTCAAGGTGTGGTTCATGTTTGTCATCAAATTCACCAACAGTGCACACAAAATTTGCCATTTTGTCCACTCTCCAGTTGGACTTCAAGCCTCCTGGGTGTCTTCTCTGCCACAGGGAAACTGCTTTTGTTGTTTCCACAGTATGCATCCGATGAAGTGAGCTGTAGCTCACGAAAGCTCATGCTCAAATAAATTGGTTAGTCTCTAAGGTGCCACAAGTCCTCCTTTTCTTTTTGCTTTTGTTGTTGTTGTTCGAGTGCTGTCCGTGCTTTATCTGCCTCTTCTGGCTGTGTGCCAACACTGCAGACTGCAGAATTCTTCCTTTGGCTCTACTTGAGCTCCCTCTGCTGGCTATAAACTCTGAGTGTGGACTAAGCCTTCCTGACTGCTTGCAAGTGTTAGTAAATATTGCTGCTCCCGCCCCCCACCCCCGCTTTGTTTCTGTAGCAGCTAGGCAGCAACAGCAGGAAACTCCTCCACGGTAGTTTGTTTGCAGTAGCTCCAGGCACCAGCCTATTCCTTTGTTCTGTTTTTATTTGCCTACTTCCCCTCTCTAGCTGGTTGACTCCCACTGTCCCAGCAGCAAAAGCAGCAGTCTGTCACTTTGTGCCTCCAGGTGAACTCCCCCCTCTTTATGGTATTATTTGCTTACTTTTTCTACTTCTTCTTCAGTCAGAGGCAGCACTGGACACTTGTGGGATAGAAATCGTTCATTGCCAAATATTATATATAGACCAAGCAGAGAAGGAGATGGACACAGAGGAGCTCATTTGAATACAGCTAGCTTCTATGGGAACCTATATTGTGCTTGCAGCAAACCTGAAACAACACACAAGTAAGGCTTTTCACTGGGGATGGAGAAATGCTCAAACATTTGAAAGGACAGGACACCACACTTTCACTATTGCCACTGTGACAACTGCATTCACCTGGGTCACTCTTTCCTCAGAGTTTCTATATTTGGATAGCTGAGAACTGAAGGAAAGGTGCTACCTGTGGATGGGCCTTTGATTCAATATTTCACTCCCCCACTTGGTCTAACAGAGCCCAAGTTTATTGGGCCTTTTCTTCACTATTGAAAAAAGGTGTATTTTTTTACCTCAGGGTAACTAACGTATGTGAGCTATCCCAAGGTAAAAAAAAAAATAAAATAAAGACAAAGCACTTTCATTTAACTTTCATTTAAATTAGACCGGGACAATCCTATATTCCTCCCTACCTATTCTACTCTGTTCACATAGGTTCTCATACTGCTCTCATCACCACAGTACAAAGGATGGGGAGGGGGTGGAGAAGTTTGTATAGTGTAGTGGAATGTCTTGTTTT